GCCAGCCAGGAAACTACCACAAGATGGCAGTTTGCAAGAGGGCTAAGGACCTGGATGACATTGTTTCTTCCTAACCAACAAAAACAAGGTGACACAAGCTTGATCTGCATTGTGGGTCTAATAAGCCACAAGCCAAGCCACATGGTTGAAATTCTCAAGAGGACAGAGGCCACAGGTAAGCCCATAGTAAAGCACTTTGAATCATGAGACAAACATTGCCAAAGGTGACTTAAAAGGTGACAGCATTGCTTAAAGCTACCACTTTAAAAAACAAACAATGCTTAACAATGACAAAGTACTCTGGGTGTGCAGAGCACAGCAGAGGCCCAAGAGCATAGGGAGGAAGAAAATTATTGGCAAGGTGCATGGCGTGGCAATACAAACTCTTAATCATGTTTCCCACTTGCTGGACTATATAATGGCTTCCCATAATTCTATCACAGGAGGCCAAGGGAGAGAGTTTGTTATTAATAGACTTAAAATGCAAATGAAATGGGGGCATGTCAAGGTTTTTCAAAGAAGAGATCAGACTTAGGAGAACCCCAAATTCAAGATCTAAAGGATACTGAGTCATTGGACAACCCTGGGAAAATGGATGTGTGTAAATAGGCTAATTACCAGTACAAAATCCAACCCCTCTGTGATGTATTAGAAATGTCCTAGCTACATGAAGGTAAATGATTGGACCAGGGTCATACTTAGTAGGTGGCAGAGGTGGGATATGAGGGAGAAGAGAATGGACATAAGAACTTATAGAGTACCAACTAAGTACCAGGCCCTGTGCTAAACATTTTTACAAATATTATCTCATTTGAGCTTCACAGCAACCCTGAGAGGTAGGTGCTGTTATTATCCCCATTTAACAGTTGAGAAAACTGAGGTTATATGATTTGCTCAGGGTCACAGTGAGGAAGTGGTAGAAGCAGGATTTGAACTCAGATGTTCCTAATGCCAGCACCAGTGCTCTATCCACTGTGCCACTAATTGCCTCTGCATATGTATTTTGTACTTGTCTTTTTAATTAAGTGGTATTTTTCTACCCAAACTTTTTAGCAGGATCTTTGAAAGCATAGTGATCACACAATGTAAGTAAAATACTAGATAGGAACTTTGTGTTTCCAGGTTTAAGAATTCATAAAGCGTTTTCCTTTGCCCTATCTTACCTCAAACACCCAACGAATGCATCATTCATTTTGTGTACCTTTGTCTACTTTGTCCAGAAACTGAGTCATTTTCCCTTCTTAAAATGCACTCAGAGTTACACTGAATCATATTGTTACATCAATTCAAAGAAAATTACAAAATGAAAAGTAAATCTCTTTTCATGCTTAACAAGAAGGGATTCTTGGGTTTATTTTGGCAAGGAGCAGTACCTGGCCATACCTCAAAAACATTCAAGACAAACACAATTCCATTCAGCGGTGAGAAAAAGAAGACCTAAAACAATATCATGAGTGATTTGAACCAGTGTTCTAAGAAAGAATTGCTACTTTTTAAGATGATGATAACCTGATAAAATAATCCAGAACCAACAAGATTATTTCCCCCTCCCACAGATTATTTGGTTTTAAAAATATTAAAGTAAGAAAGTGCTTATAAAAATTCAGAAATGTTTCTCTTGAATTGTATTCATCCTTATTGAGAATAAAGTCATTGTCCTGAAGTAGTTGGTGTTGGAGAAATTGCTTATTAGTTCAAATGCTTTACATTTATCCCTTTTGGTATACAGTTTAGAAGGCCTCCAGGTGGAAAATCTCACAAAACATATCTATGCAACTCATTTCTAAGCCTCAAATAATTTCTATCATACCTATATTCAGGAAAAATAACTAACTCCCATTGGATCGTTGCTGTTATTCTAGTCAATAGAGAAAACTATGAGTAACACTTGATTATTTCTAACATCCCTTTCTCTTCTTTTCTTCCCTTTCTCTCTCTTCTTTTTCCACTTCCTTTCTTTCTGCACTCATTTTCTTTCACTTCATAATGCTCTTGGTGATACTGAAGGCTACAAGAGTTTGGCAAATCCTAATTCAGGCTAAGCTGCCAAAGGTTTATTGAGAATGAGCATGTAAATGTCACAGCAGGCAGAAGATTCAATATCCTGTTACATATTCTGCACATTTGTATGTGTGGCACCAGCAAATTACAACTCTTAATGAGTCAAATAGCTATAGAAAATAATGGTCTGTGAGCTATGCCCATAAGGAAATGGAATTGATTTTCTAGTGAAGCTTAAAAACTGTATGGAAGGCAATTCCAAAAAGGAGTTAAAAATACGTTTTGAGCAATAGCAACATTAGTGGAATAAGTGGAAAGCCTGCCAAGACAAACACTCTGAAGGATAACACTTATCTGGATATAGAAGTTCCAATGTGTTTGATGAAAAAGCAGTTCCCTTACTTTCCAGTCATGACTTACATATCTAAATTCTATATATACATTACAGCATGCCATTAAAGTACATCTGTTTGAGATTCTACTCTTAGGTCATCCTGCCTGTTTAAAAAAAAAAGCCACATACCACTCTTTCTCGGGGAGGTTAGGCCAACAAGCAAGCAAGTTCTAACACTAATGATAACAGGCTGTGAGAGCTCCAGGAAAATCAAAATGGCAGTGCTTAATCATTTCCACAAAGGAAGCAAAACTCAAAGTCCTTGAACCTGGATACCATAAGGAAATTTCTGTGTAATGGGAAGTAAATACCATTCATGCAATCCAATTTTCTCCCTAACAAAAAAGCTTGACTTTTTCATTCTCTGTTGGTGAATTTGTCCAGGTCAGGTCACGCTGTAGCTAGCCATAAGGTTCATAGTTACTAGCACAACCTGCTCTTAGAAGCAGTGGGAATAAATCCAAGAAAACATAAAAATGACTCAAGGACATTCTTAGGCAAGCAATGAATGCCTGGCACTAGGAAAAGCTGTCATTGTTACAGGAAGACATTTTTAGATGAATAAAAGTTCACTTACCTTTTAAAGATCAGTTTTCACAGCACTATCTCCTTGCCATCGCTGGAATAACTTACCTTTCTGTCTCTTCCATATTCCATATATACATATGCATATATATGTACATGTACACATACATATTTATACATATATACCAACACACCAATACTTAACTATTAAGAAAAGCACACCTGCATGTACACACATGTTTCTATTCTTTGGAAAATACTTTTAGCTGTGAGTCCAACAAAAGTACAAAGAATTGTAGTGGGGAAAAAAGAGTAAGCAGAGTGTTCCTCTCAAACTCCAGGGGGCTTCCTTAACCTCCAGAATCAAAGTCTGAAGCAGCTTTCAAGTCACATAAGAGCAAATGAAGACCTGTGATACCTGTGAGCCCTAGTAAAATGGTTATCAGCATCAGTAGGGGATCTTATAAATGTGGTAGACAGCAAATCCTATGGATTATGGCACCAGAATAGCAAGTTTCTATACAGCCTTACACGTTTCAAGGTTTTTTTCTCTGTACTTCCCACTTCATCAATTGTTTCTCCTTAGTATATCAGGGGAGACTGAGAGGAAGAACAGAGAAAGGCAGCAGAGAAAAATTGGGCAAAGAAGATAAATATAGAAGAACTGAAAACACACACGATTAAATAGTGGAGTGATAAGACACCAGGGAGAGATAAACAGGTATATAATTAATGCCTGGGTGTTTTCTGAATAAAGCACTGGATTACTTTGCAGGCTCTAGCCTTTGTTCATATAGCACATACATTTATAAATAAACCCAAGAAGTGATATAATTTGTCCTGGATATAAAGATAACCCATGGACTTTGAAATCATATGGTAACTAATGCCCAGCAGGTACAGTTCGGTCTTTTTCCCCAAATTCTCCATGGTAAATGCTTAGAAATTTTAAGAAGTAATTTTCCTTAACTAGAGTGATACAAGCAAGGAAGATGACCTATGGACTTTAATTATACTCATGGGACTATACAATATATATATATGTATGTATGTATGTATGTATATGTATATAAAGTGTTCCAAAAAATCTTAGCGCAGATTCAAGTTTTAATATCTTTTTTTCTTCCTTCCTTCCTTTCTTTTTTCTATTATCTGTCGATCTATAACTTACATAGATGAGACATTATCAATATAGACATAGAAAGATATGTGAAGATATAAAACATATTTTCATGTATCTATATTTCTATATCTATATCTATATCCATCCATCCATCCATCTATCCATCCATTCATCTATCTTTCTGTCTATCTATCATCTATTGTTTTTGCTTATAACCATTTCTATCACAATGTCACCTTTCTTGGTTAACTGCTATTAGTTTAGGGTTCTAAATTTAGCAACAGAAGAAAGATAATTTAAATAGGAATCTCCAGTATGAAACAAGATTACTGAGTCTACACTTTGGTATAAACTATATAGATAATGAGCATTTCACTTATATACACGTAGCTACACAAATTTGTACATGGGAATAATATATGTTCTTCTCTCTGAACAAAGCAGGAAAAACAACTAAAAACTTCATCATTTGATGAAGCCATGGTATTTCTGGATCCCCTGTCCTTCCTAGAAAAGGACACATCCCTTAGTTATCCTCTTTACAGAGTCAACGAAACATTCTAAAAAGAAACTATCTAGATAGTTTAGTTTTATGGAAAGGCAAACATTGTAAAAAAAAATGTCTTGTAAGACACCACACTCTGCCTTTGGGGGACAAAAATAGTTATTCCATGATCATGAAAATCACAGTTAGAAAGAAGGAAGTAGGGAGGAAAAATACAATTTAATTATGCTAATTTATTTAATGGAAAAACCTACCCTAGTATTTTCAGTGAAGGAGTGATCTCTTTACTTTCCAAGTATATATCAAATGAAGAATTTAAAGAGAGACTCATATTGCTTTAAGTGAAGAAAATGTAATCAACTTCATGATGTTTTTTTTTTTTTTTCCCTTAAGCTTTCTCCCAGGTTTCCTACCTCTCCCCAAACCTCTAAGCATGAAAGGATTTTACTCACGGTCATTGCATTGATTCCCAGAGTAGGAGGTCATGGAACAGTCACAGGTGAAACCTTCCCACTGTTGCATGCAGACACCTTGGTTGGCACATGAATCTTCCTGGCACGTGGTGCTTGGTCCTGGTAATGGAGATAAGAAAAGGAGAGGGAGAGAAAGGCAAGGGAGGGGAAAGAAGGAAGGTAAGGAACTATATTGATTCAAGAACAAGAGTATGCAAATTCACTATTTTCATGCCAAAAGACAACCCAATCAATGAACAACACAACCACCCGAAATTTCCATTCTTGGTCATGCAACTATAATTCAGGGTCAACAAGAGACAACAAAGACACACGCAGCTACAAAATGTTAACGGTAACACACAAAATGAAAAGGAGGTAACTGGAACATTCTCATTGAGGCAGGCTTCGCAAAAAAGCTTCATCTCTACCATTCAACTGGACAGGCAGATCGTCTTATACTGGCTCATGATCTTTCCAGGCCTTTCAGATAAGGATTTCTATTTTAATAATACAGAGGTAGAAGAAGTACACTTCACAAGTCCTTTTGTATCCTGAGGGTGGGAAGTTCCTGAAGACTGCAGTATGAACTTAAAAGGATGGTGGCATTTTCTCCATGAAGCCCTCCCTGATTCCTACCTACTTCCCTCTACTCAGGTGAAAGCATTCTTTTCATCCTCAAGTTTTCCTAGATCACTCTGTCTGGAACTCTCCTCCAACCCTATCACTTACAGCCTTGTATGGCATATATCTTTACATATGCTGTACTTCCCCAGTAGATTGTAAATCACTAGAAGGCAACTTGCTAGGTAGTGTAGTGGCCAGGACACTGGACCTGATGTTAAGAAGATTCGAGTTCCTTCCCCACTTACTAACTTTCTAAACCTGGGCAGATCATTTTAACCTCGGTTTAACTCAGTTTCCTCATCTGTAAAATGGGGATAATAGCACCTACCTACCAGGGTTTTGTAAGGATAAAATATTTTTAAAGTGCTTTACAAACCTTAAAATGCTATATAAAAGCAAGCTATTATTATTATTGCTTATGTAGTCACTCTTCTTTTCATCTCCATAACCCTACAAGAGTCTTACATACGTGAAGCTAATAAATGCATATTGAATCGACTTGAATAATGACTTTTTAGAGCCTCGTAGAGGAAAATAGGGGAGGAATACATATTCTGTCCCATGTTAAGGCAGCCTGTATTTAGACCAAATTTTAGATTCCTTTTAAACACTTTGACTATTCCCACCCCCATCCCCACTTTTCTCCACCTCTAGTTTAGAAAAAAATAATGTCCTTTTAGGGATACTTTTGCTATTAAAAAAACAATTAAGACTTAGGTTGATGAAGAAAAGAAAACCCCTCAGGTCAAATTTAATTTCCCAAAGAGGTTTGGGGTGGTGATGGAGGTGCTTTTCTCCTCTACAAATTAAAGTTGATAGGGAATCCTCATTCATTTATGATATTTGATTAATGTCAAGAAGGAGTTTGTCCATTGGCTGATCTAAATACTATTTCATGTTGCCAAAAAGTATTTGCAAGGCAGAAACAAATTCCAAAATTTCTGCACGTACATAAACACTGAGTTCTAAGTATGTGACATCACAATACATTTCCAAAGAAAACATCACACTCGCAAGCATTACTGTCTTCTGTGTTACGTCATTTTTTTTTTCTGGGTAGGGAGATCAGTGTTACAGACTATCCCTCATAAGTCAAAGCTATTAAGATATAGAGTGAGAACACTCATAACAATTGAAAATGATGGGAGAATAGATTAGCCTCTGGGCTGCTCCAGCTCTCATTGGCAATTACATGCATCCTTATAGGGATGAGAAAAGGAAAATGGTTTTGTCCCAATGAGTCCTAAATTTGAATGTGGTGTGATACAAATTTTATTAACAATGGCAAATCAGGACAGCTTCTTTCAAAGGATAAAATCTTCTGAGATGTACACAGGACTCCCTGGCCAAACAGCTCTCCCCAAACAACGAATGGGTAATTTGATGGCATAAAAGAAGTAGAAACACATGACCTACTTTTCCTTGATATCTAAAAGAAAACAAAGTAATTCTTCATGTTTTGGTTGGTGCTAAATCATAAATCTACCTATCCCTCTCCTCTTTACTTTGCCTATCCATATCCTAACCAGACTAGTAATAGCTGACACATATTGTCCTTTTTATTACCAAGTTCTTTATACATCTGATTTCCTCCAGTCCACACAACAACTCTTAAGGCAGGGGCTACAGGCATTATTATTCCCATTTTAGAGTTGGGAAACCTGAGGCTCAAATGGTTTAGTATAGTGACTTGCTTATGCTCACACAAGTCCATCCTTTCAGGTCCTTCTTTAGTACCATCTCTTCCCAGATAACTACAGATATGATCCCTCTCCTCCTAATTGTCCCCATATTTTTGGCAGCATAAATTGTTGGTACGTGAATATATGCAAATAAACAATTTATAAAATGTATTAAATACTGAATTCTTTCTTGTTCTCTGGTTGATTTGTATGCACATATATCTCACCATTTGTATGCACTTCTCTCTCACCATAGATTGTAAGAGCCTTGATGACAAGAACCATGTTATATATCTATATACCCTCATCTATAGCTGTATCTATGACACCTTTTAGATTCCTTACTGCACTTAGTGTAGTGCTACAAACATCATAAAATATTTTAAACTGAATTGAATGAGATCCAACCTGAATTTTCTGAAGACGTTATTTCTAAAGTCTGGGGGTGGAGATCAGGGTGGGAAAGGAGAAAGAGGCCAAGGGGAGGAAGGGGTCTGCAGATAAAGGAATATTTTACTTCTGTCAAGGGCACATGAATTGAACAATAGACTATTAAAAAACCCCACAATGTGCCTTTAATACACCAAATGAGGGGCTAGCTACATGCAGAGTCTCAAAACTCTCGAAGGCTACATGCTGTTATAAGCAGAAGGTAATCATTTAAAGGAAGAAAGAGCAAACATTCTATACGTGGTTTAAACAAGGGGTCAATTCCCAGTCGGAAATAGCACAGCATACTCGGTAACATGCTCATCTTGGATTCAGGAAGTCTTGGGTTCAAAGCCTGCCCCTGTTACTTACTAGGTCAATCATAGTGCGGGTCCTTCATGTATTAACATTATTTCCAGAATAAAATAGCTTCCAAATTCATCTGTATCTACCCCTACCCTTTTCTACCTCACTTTCTTGTTCTAACACCAAAACTTCTTTACTGAATGTTCAAAGGAAAGATATGATGCTGCACATCACCTTCATCAGTCTTGATTTTGACAAATTCTTCAACCGATTCAACAATGATTTGATTCATATAAATATATAATCCATTTGTAATACTTGTTAGCTGTTTGCTCAATAGGTATTTATTCTCACTTATTACTGCATGAGATTTGAATAGGTAGGTGTGTAAGCATAAGAGGAGCAAAAGACATGTCAGAGTATAATCATATTTTAATAACTTTGCACATTGCCCTGCAATAGTCCCAAGGGGATAAATAGGTATAAGGGATGCACCTACCTACGACTTACAACATACAATGAATATATAGAAGTCAGAGAAGGAATAGGGATTTGTTGAGGGATTGTATCATAATGAAAGAACCATTAGTCTATAAAATAGAACATTTGGGTTCTAATCCCAGCTCTGTCATTGACTAGCTTTTTAATCTTAGGCAAATACCTCAATCTCTCAGGCTTCAGCTTCTTCAACTATAGAAGAAAGGCCCTGACTAGAATCAAGGGTTCTTAATCTGGAATCCACCAACTTGTTTCTTTTAAATATTTTGATAATTGTTCAAATTGTTGCTATTTTTATAATTTTATATATTTTATTGCATGCATTTATGAACATCATTCTAAGAAAGGATCCATAGGCTTCATCAGATTGCCAAAGGATTTCATGACAGACAAAAAAGTTAAGAGGTCTTGGCCTAAATGATGTATTACCCACAAATAATAGTACTTAGGCTTTCTATCTACTTTCCTTCCTTCTTGTTACTGATGCCACACCTCTTTTCCCAGGCATTATGGATAATGTCTATTATACCACTTCTCAAATATGTCGCTGTTGGTGTTATGCTGTAGCCTCTTTAAACCTCTATGTGTCTCCTCTCCATCGTCCTTTTGGTTATCTGTGATTAAGATTCTTCTCTCTCTCTCTCTCTCTCTCTGTCTCTCTGTCTCTCTCTGTCTCTCTCTCTTTCTCCCATCCCTCTTCCCTTCTCCCCTCTCTTTACTAATACAACTAGTCACCTATTTCGTAATTTATTATCCTACAGAGTTGCCTGGGGGCACTGAGAACTTAAGTGAATTGCTAGGGATTATATGACTAGCATGTGTCAGAGGCAGGAACTGAACCCAGATCTTCTTGATTTTTGAGGCCATACTTCTATTACTATGCCTTGCTTCCTTTAATATAGCTCAAGCTTCATCTTTGTTCATATCTAAATAATAACAATAATAATAATAGTTAACATTTCTATAGTGCCTGTTGTGTGCCAGGTATTTTATACATATTGTCTCATTTGATCCTCAAAGTAATTCTATGAGGTAGGTGTTGTTATCATCTCCATTTTACCGTTGAGGCAACTGAGGCAAACAGAAGTTAATTGACTTGCCCAAGGTCACACTGTTAAGATAAGTCTGAGGCTAAATTCGAACTCAGGGCTAACTGGCTATAGGCCCTGTTGCTCTATCCATTGCACCGCCTACCTGATAGAAAGAACGACACCTGTCTCTATATCTCCATCTCCATCTATGTCTTACATTGATGGGACTAATTGAACAGGCTGCCCATCTAACTGCATTTTATAGTCTGGGAAATACACATCTTTCATCTAATATGTTTTGGAAGGTGAGGTGACTCTCTTTCTAATGATTCTCATTGAAGAAATCATATAGCTTAGTGGAAATTGATGTAATTAGCACATTGTCAAAAGAAGTATGTGAAAAACTTCACCGTGTACAGGAGGTACCTCTTCTGTTTGGACTTGGCAAAGGATATCCATTATGACACATGGAAACACCTTAAAGTGAGCATGTGTCTTCCTGTTTAATGACTCATTTGATACTGTATTTAGCAGATTGTTAAATAAA